CTCTACCTAACACATAGAAACAAACTCAGATGTCTGCCAAAATGAGGAGACAAAGTAACATGCCCCAAATGAAAGAACAGAAAAAACTCCAGAAAAAGAACTAAACAAAATTGAGACAAGCAATCTACTAGATGCGAAATTCAAAACACTGGTTAAAAAAATGCTCAGTGAACTTAGGGGAAGAGTAGATGAACTTAAAATTTCAAGAGCATTAAAAAAAACCCAATCAGAAATGAAGGATACGAATAACTGAAATGAAGAATAATGTACAGGGGATCAATAGTAGAGTAGATGAAGCCAAGAATAAAATCAGTGATTTGGAGTGTAAGGAAGCAAAAACCCCCACACAATCAGAAGAGCAAAACAAAAAAAAAAAATCCAAAAAAATGAGGATAGTGTAAGAAGCCTCCGACAACTTAAGGTATGCCAACATTTGCATCATAGGGATGCCAGAAGGAGAAGAGAGCACAAGGAATTGAAATTGTATTTCAAAAAATGACAGAAAACTTCCCTAACTTGGTAAAGGAAATAGACATACAAGTCCAAGAAGCACAGAGATGAATTCAAAGGAGCCCACACCAAGACCATCATAATTAAAATGCAAAAGATTAAAGACAAAGAGAGTCTCAAAAAGTTCAAGAGAAAAGCAGTTAGTTACCTCCAAGGGAACTCCCAAAAGACTGTCAGCTGATTTCTCAATAGAAACTTTGCAGGGCAGAAGGAATTTGCCCAAAATATTCCAAATGATGGACAGCAAGGACCTACAACCAAGATTACCCAGAAAAGCTATCATTTAGAATTGAATGACATATAAGGAGCTTCCCAGACAAGGAAGAAAACCAAAGGATTTCATCACTACCAAACTAGTTTTACATGAAATGTTAGAGGGTCTTCTTTAAGAAGAAAAAAAACTGATAAAATATGAACAATAAAATGGCAACAAATACATACCTATTAACAATTGAAACTAAAAAAATATATAAATGAACATGCAGAACAGAAACAGACTCATAGATGCAGAAAACATTTTGACAGTTGCCAGATAGGAGGGGTTTTGGTGGGGGGTGGGTGAAAAAGTACCAATTGGTAGTTACAGAAGAGTCACGGAGATGTAAAGTATAGCATAGGGAATATAGCCAATAATATTCTAATAACTATGTGTGGTGTCAGGTGGGTATGAGCTTTCTTGGGATGATCATTTAGTAATACAATATCTAATCACTGGGTTGTACACCTGAAACTAATATAATATTGTATGTCAACTGTAATTGACAAAAAACTGATTTAAAGTAAAAAAAAATCAATTTGTTGTAAACGCGAGTGTTTGTTTCTGGACTCTCAATTCTATTGAGATCCATCGATCTCTCTATCTACCTATGTATCTATCTATATCCTTATGCTCTTACTATACTATCTTTAGCTGTAGTAAGTTTTGAAATTAGGAAGTGGGTGACCTTCAATTATGTTCTTTTTCAAGATTGTTTTGACCATTTTAGGTCCCTTGCATTTCCATATGAATTTTAGGTTCAGCTTGTTAATTTTTGCAAAGAAGCCAGCTGGCATTTTGATAGAAATTCTTTTGAATCTGTAGAACAGTTTGGGGGAGTAGTGCCATCGTAACAATATATAACCTTTCAATCCATAAAAACTGGAAATTTTTCCATTTATTTAGGTCTTCTTTAATTTCTTTCAACCGTGTATTATAGTTTTAGAACATAGATTTTGCACTTCTTTTGTTAAATTTATTCCTAAATATTTTATTCTTTTTGATGCTACAGTAAATGGAATTTTTCTTAGTATCATTTTTGGATTGTTCATTGCAACTGTATAGAAATACAATTAATTTTTTAAATATTGATCTTGTATTCTACAACCTTCTTGAACCCATTTATTTGTTCCAATAGTTTTTAGTGGATTCCTTAGGATTTTCTATATATAAGATTGTCATCTGCAAATGCAGTTTTATGTATTTCTTTTTAATTTGGATGTCTTATTTTCTTGCCTAATTCCCCTATCTTGCCATCCTAATCTTATCTTACTTATAAGCAGTATATGATACAGTTGTTCATTCCTTCCTTCTTGAAGTCCTCTTTTTATTTGGCTGCTTGGATACCACACTCTTGGTTTTTCTTCCATCTCTCTGGCTCATCGTCTCATCTTTTTTGCTGGTTTTTCCTATCCCCACCAACCTCTTAACCATCTCCTACCTCTGAACTCCAGGCTTATGGATCCACTTGCCTACTTGGTGACCCTGCTTAGATGTCCAACAGGCAGTTCAAATTTAACCTGTAGTCTTAAGTGAAGTATTTTGTGGAAAACAAGAAAACAAACAAGTTAACATTTAATGAATGTTTATTATTATCACTATTCATTATCTTGGTTACAGCACATCTGAATTCTGATACTCAGGGAACACAAACCCTGGTCAGTTTGATCTGGGGTCTGATCTCGTTACTAACAGCTGTACTGTTACTGTCTATAAATCACAAAGTATAGAGCTCTATTTTTCTCTCTTCAAGACTGTCTTTTTGAGTAGCGTGATAGCTCAGAAAAAAAAGGATTCTGTAATCTGTGGTAAGTAGCACTAGAAGTGCTTATGAGCCATGCAGCACTTTGGAGCTGCCTCTCCCCTTTCCATGCGGAATGGATGCATAGAGATGGCTCCCGTGCACCGACAGGCCTTCTCACCCACAGGGAGAGCTTACCTTAAGTTTTTGGTAAGTTTTTCTTTGTCATTTTCCCAGGTTAGAGTTTTCCTGGCCTTGAGATATACTTCTCTCTTATTAGAACTGCTCTCATTCATTTGCTTGCCTGGATTCTCCATCTTTATTCCTCATTCCTTCTTGTCTCTTTCTTACTTCTTCATGAATTGTCATCTCCTCTGCATTTGCACAGTGTTTCTCTCTGACACTACTTACTCAGCACCCAATACTGCAACTTAGTGTTTCTACCCATCTTTGTCAGTACTTTTCTCATTAAAATACTGGTTATCAAAAAAAAAAAATACTTGTACTTTTAAATAGCAGTGATAACTTCATTTTCTTACCAAAATCTTTAATAGAAGTGAAAATGTCCAAAATGAGTTTATTCATGATGGGAATACATTTTTACAGTACACTTTTCTAGATTAAAAACCAGTCTGTTCTCAGGCAGCATCTACAAACTCATTCGGTCCCCATGATATATGTCCCAAGGTAGCTGAAAAATGAGAAAACTGTGGTGAGGTGAGGCCACTTGTCCCTCTTCTCATAGCCAGTTGAGGGCAGAGCTAGTTATGTTTCCAGATGAGCTGGCTTATTCTGATAAAGTTTGTGTGTAGGGTCTGCTGGCCACTGCAGGGTGGGGTCCCACCTCTGGGTTTTACCTCTTGGTGCTCAGAGCTATCACTCTTCCCAGGAGCCCCCTCACTGATACTTTATTCCATATGCTCAACCTTCCCTGACCACCTGTCCTTATTGGAATTAACCTATTTTCTGCCTTTTTCCATACAAGCGTCAACCAATCATGAGGCATTGTGTTACTGTATGTGGATTAAAGAAAAGTAGCTTTGGGTCACTTTTCTAAACTTCATAGACCAGATAACTACTAAGTGCATTTGCAGCTCCAACCTTTTCAGACTTCATGATTCTATTTCTCTGATAAGTAAACCTGGACTGATGTATTAATAGTTGGCAATGGTTTACTATAATATACCAGGGATGGCAAATACGTAGTTTCTTTTCTATTTATCAATCATCACATGGAACCCAGTCATGGCCTCAGATTTCTCAGTCCACTATTGCTTTCCAAGTAACTGCTACCAATGAGTTACGGGTGAAATGTATTTGTCCTGCTTGAAGTACTATTAGTACTTCAGTCTAAAGGTGGGACTAGTGGTGGCAGGATGCCATAGAAGGTAGGAGCATGGGTTCTGGGGCTTAGCTGCCTGCATTCAAATCCTGTCTCTGCTGCTCTCTCTCTGTGTGACCTTGGGAAAGTTACTTACCTTCTCTGGGCCTCAATTTTCTCGTTTGTAATGTGGGACATAACAATAGCCCTACCTCATAAAGTGGTAGAGAGAATTAAATGAAGCAATACATGTAAAAAAGTGCTTAGAACAGTGCCTGACACATACAACTCAATTAATGTTAACCATTATATTAATAATATGCATGATAAAAAATTGGAAGGCTGGTAGAGGAAAAATTCTTGGATTGACAGGACCTTTCAATCTCCAAAGTAGTTGAATATCCATTCTATCTAAGAATATGGATTGATCCCATTTTAAAATTTGTTCATTTATTTGGTAAAAATTCAGGGCCTACTTTGGGCCATGCATGCCGCCAGGTGTCTAGGATATAACGGTAACTAAGACAGGTCCCTTTTAGAGCCCACAGTGTAGTGAGAGTGGCAAACAAGTAAAAAGGTAGTTACAGTATTCATAATAATTACAATGATTAGAGTTTGCGCAGGGTCTTTAGGGAGCATAGTGTGTAGGCAGAGTCTTCTTGGTGATAGTGTTGAATCTGGGTGGGAGCAGAAACACAGGAGTCCTCCACATCTGGCTGATCTTTTACCAGTATTGCATAGGCAGTGGGTCTCTTGGGAAATTGTTAATACTTGTTCTTGCTGGTGGCACACCTCGGTGGCATGCTCATGCCCCTCGGCATTCATTCAGTCACTTGACAGGCAGCCCCAGGCTTTTCCCAGTGCTCCTTGAGCTGCCATACTCCTGTCTTAGTCAGAGTTGATGGAGTGGGGAGCCGAGAAGTGAAGACAAGTGAAGGAACTCTGAATTTGCAGCCACAGACTAGTTGGATTGCTCTGTGTTCTTTGGGAAAGCATGAATGTCAGACTTGTCAGGGACTTGGAAAAGTTGATGAGTCCATCCCCCTGCTTAACTCTATGACAGCCTCATATAGCACAGTCTGGCATCTGGGTGGGAGGAAAAAATGCCCTTGGATGACTGGGGCGGGTGTTAGTGCTATGACCCATCTTGTTCCCTCCGTGGTGTCTTACAGTAAGCATCTGTTGTGTGACGTGATGATTGTGGCAGAAGATGTCGAGATAGAAGCCCACCGTGTGGTCCTGGCAGCCTGCAGCCCCTACTTCTGTGCAATGTTCACAGGTATGGTGAGGGGAAACAATACCCCACAGCTGTGAGGCTGTATCCCCGCCCAGGGAGAATATTGAGGGGGTGGCATGAGGGGAGGGAGGAAAGAGAAGACTGTGACCCCCACCATGAGGAGCTTCCATGTGCCAGGCCAATTGGGCATGCGGCCCCTTGTCCACCATGAGGCAGAAAGAGGTAGAATCCTATAGTCCATACATTCTCAAACTTTGGCACACATCATAATTATGTGGGGAGTTGTGAAAAATATAAACTTTTGGGCTCATCTCCAGGCCTTCTGATCTCTCATTTTGCAGATGGGGGACACTAAAATGGAGAGAAGGGAAGGGACTGGCCCCGGTTGCACAGAGAATGAGCGGACTTGGCTTCCTGATGGCTGGCTCACATCTTGTCTAGCCCTTCCTTAGAAGAAGACAGGGGTTGTGGGCCTCCTCTGGACTTTACAGGAGTGTGGGAGACGTGATTGGGGGACCTGGGGTGGGGAGAGTAAGACATAGAAATGTTCACTACCGGTCATTCATTTTCGGCATCTTGCCAGCTTTCCAGAGGTGCCTGTTCCCTGAGCATGCCAGGTAGCCTTGCCCAACTATGTCACAAGTGTTACTTCTGAAACTGAATTCCTTGAAACCCATGGGCTAAGCTGCTGGTCTGTAGTGCCTCACGGCACCTCCCCTGAGCTAGGTACATGCGGTGTTCTATACATCACTGCTGACTGAAGGCCGCTAGGCTGAGTGACACCATGGCCTGGGTCAGGTGTCCCTTCCACCTGCTCACCAAGTACCCTGTGCTTCCTCTGAGTATGGTCACTATCACTCTATATTCTTGTCTCTTTCCTGGTGACTGTAGTGCCCGCGCTCTGGCATCTCATATATCGGCTGTTTCTCATACTGCCATTTACAGTTCAAATGCTTCCGCTTTCCAGAGATCTCCTCTGACCACCCTAACCACAGTTCCCTGTTAAGTCTCTTTGCTATCCCATAACTTGAGTATATTTTTAAACATCACTTAAAAATCATGTTCTTTGGTTATTTATATGTTTTCTTACCTGTCTTGCTTCACTAGAATATGAACTCCATGAAGTCAGGGATTTGTTGGACTTGTTACTATATCCTGACTACCTGGTATACAACAGGACTCATACTTTTTAATTTAATGAATGAAATGTCTCGCACACTTGATTGTGAGCTTTGGGCATTTAGGGACTATGTCTTGTCGCTGTTGAATCCTCAATGCCCACCACAGGGCCTTGTATTGATGACAGTTAAGTAGAAGTTGAAAGAATGAAGATAGGCTTGCTGGGAATGGGTGAGTGCAGGCACAGTTTTGCTTGAATAGGCCATTACCCTTTTCCTAGTACACTGCACAGCCTCTGCTGGGGAAGATTGGCTCCTGTTGGGGCAGACTTGATACTTACGTTTTCAGAGTTCCTTACATGTGTGTGCCCCTTGGCTCATCATGTGAAGGAGCTGGTCTCAACTCAGAGCTGTGTCTTTGCTAAGTGGACCAAGTCCCTCTTACCTCACGTTGAACCTTAGGCTAGAAATTTCACAGTGTGGCCTGCAAAACCAGATAATTTAACTACCTGGAAATTTTGAGCCACATTTTTTTTGGAGTAACCTCAAACCTTAGTAGTAATATTTTAATTTTCTCTCTCTCCTTCATTCATCTCTTTTAAAAAATATAATTAATTTTCTCTGCAATAAATATTTAGCCAAAATTTCAATGAATATCTGTCAGTTATTCTTCCTCATGTGTGTAGTTTGGAAAGTCCAGTGCTGTAATAAGAATCTGTTTGGAATTGCAATAACATTAGTGTTGGCTCTACTTTTTGCTAATGAACTGGCCTCTTGGGTAGTGGAAGTACCTAAGCAAAATGAAAACGATGTTAGAAGTGGAGAGGAAAGATGTTTTGGGGCAGGTCTTGGATTCTAGTAATTGAAGGGAGGAGAGAATCAAGAGAAGAAAGCAATCTAATGTGATGCTCAGCCAAAGCCTTCTATTGAATCTGGTTACCATCCATCCATTCATCCACCCACTAATCACATGCGTACATGGCAGAAAGGAATAAGAAAATGAGGGCAAGCAAAAACATTAAAAATGACATGTAATATGACATCTAGATAAGGTTATAATTTATATTCTTTCAGGTTTGTATTTATAAATGTATACATATGTTTATAAATATATAGATACAAATATATATACATCAAATATATAGATATAAATATATAGATGTATTTACATAGATACAAATTATATGTTTGTATATGTATAGATATAAATTATATTATAACATTAATGAGTTCATTTTATATATATACAGTTGAATAGCTTTTCTTGATGTGCGTATTTAGAAAAATTGCTGTTCATCTTCCTGAAATGTTCTTCCTTCATGCCTGTTTGCCTGCCTAACTCCTGTTCATCCTTTATTGCCACTTAAGCATCATTTCCTTAGGAAGGCCTTTGACAATCCCCTTGGAATAGGTTAAATCCCTATGCTATTTACTCTCATGGTACCCTATGTTTCTCTTTAGTATTACCATTTCTCTCATTATATCCTTGATATTTGACTTCCCAGGTCAGTCGTAAGCCTTATTAGGGTAAGAACTGTACTTTTTTAATTTACTGCTTTGTCCCCCCTCCCTATCATGGCCTTCCGTATAGTAGGTGCTCAATGAAAATTTGCTTAATTGAATTTAATGGGATATTGTGACTCTATTTTCAGGTCATTTAAATCACATCTGCATCATAATTTTAATGGCTTCTTAAGATTCCATCATATGTATCCTAATTGAAGTGCATTTCCTTATTGTTTGGAAATTAATAGGCATGTTTGTATCTTAATCTTTATTTACATTCCTGATTATTTCCTTAGAATAGATCCCTAGAACAAGAAATATTTGGTTAAAGGGTATGTACATTTTGAAGACTTGTGAGACACATGCTGCAACTCCACAGCTCTAGATGGTTGCACCAGCTTATGCTTTGACCAGCAATATATGAGATTTGTGTATTTTTTGAGGCCCCTTGGCTTTGCTTGAACCTTGGTAAACAAGTAACATTGCAAAATTTTGTTCTAATTATCAGGGTCAGCTTTAAAATACATAAAATTAGTAATGAAAAGGCCTAGCTGACTCATGCAAAGTCCGTTTCTGTCAGCATGTTTAAGGCCACAAACAAAACAAAATACATGTGACTCTCTTCTGACTTGACTGATGTGATGCTTATCTTTTGTTCAGACTTAAAAGTGTTTTTATTTTTTTGTCTTCTGAGTTTATATTGTCCAAATGTCCTGTGGTGTCCAAATACCAACTCTTCTCCTTGACCGTGGCCTGCTCACAATAATTTGGAATAAATGTGAAACTGAGGTCTGAGTGCCCACAGGAGAGTGTCCAAAGGCAGCCAGCCTGTGAGAAGACCCAGGGCGGGCAGTCAGCCTAACGGCCCTCACCCCTTTAGCCTACTGTGGCTGGGGAGGCCCACAGTGCTGTGTCTGCCCATCTTTTTCCTGTGGCTGTGGAATACTTAAGATCCCCCCCGCCCAATCTCTCCCATCTAAGACCTCTATCCCAGGGGAGAGTAATTTTCCCAAAACAGCCTAGTCAGTTTTTTTCTCTTTTTATCGTGCCCTTCACTATGGGTTCTCCCATAGTATTTGTACTCCATATAGGTCCCTACATTTCATCTAAATACTTTAAGAACAACCCCATTTTATAGTGTTAAAAGAACGGAGTTTAAAGATGTGAGCTTATGCCCGTCATCATGGCTGTAAGACGTTTGGTCTCCCATCCCAAAAGAAGCTCCTGGAGCGAACTGTCCCATCCTTCTGATTCTATATGCAGAGGCTGATTATAGATTGCTTTTGTTTTTTAAAAAAGAATTGCTGTCCAATTTTTATTAGATGTAGGCTGATGTTTAGTTGGTATCCTTAAACATGTAGTGAGTAGAAATAGGGAGGAGAGTCAGGAATATGCTGGGGTAAAGGCAAGGGGCGTGGAACTTGAGTGGACTCGAACCATCCGCCAAGCACAACAATGAAGGCCCGGCTCTCTCACTCACCTCCCAGGCATGCACTCACTTCATAGAACCTTTGTTTCCACCCTTACTTCGTGCTGTATTCTGCCAGGCCCTGGCCCTTGTCTGTGTGCTCACTGTTTGCATGTTGTTTGCGTGATGCCTTTGAAGATCTTCACGGTAATATGCTGCTTAGCAAGACTTGATCCAAGGCAATGGGGCCAGGAGGCAGGGCGTGCTAGGGAACCGAATTGTTTCCTTGGATAAAGAAGGCTAGAGGGAGGTTGTGGAGTAGGAGTGGTAAATGGGGCCTGGTTTCTGAGGGTTTTGCCCCTGAGGAGTCAGAGATTGGGTAGAATAGTTCAGAAAAAAAAAGATTTGGAAGCATCAGAGACTGTTTGGGATTAAGGAGGAATGGCTTTACCATTCATGTGACTTGTCTTTTAAAGTTAGTTAGCTCTGGGCTGGAGTTTCCAGTGACATAGGGTTTCTTTTTCCTGTCCCTAACAAATCACATCAAAGTCAGGCATCCTTTTCTGGCTTAGGAGACCCAGATTTGAGGGTCTCCTAAAAATATGTTGCTCTTGGTGCAGAAATGATGAGTGTTTTTTAAAGAATCGGTTTGGTTGTAGTTCAACATAGTTCAGTGCCTGGGAAGAGGGACTGCTGTTCAGGCTCTCCCCACCCCCCTGCATTAAGGTATTACCAGTTTGGCCAAGATGGTCCGGGGTAGGCTTTTTGGACTTAGAGTGTAGCTCAGTCTTAAAATTCAGTCCATCATTGGGGAAAAGCATTGGTAATGAATGGTTTATGAATGTTTATAGAGGAAGATCTTGTTGATATGGAGGCCTCTTTGCTAATGATTAAACACAGGGTGTTAATACCACCTTGTATTGGGAGGTGGTGTAGTGTCTTGGAAAGGGCTTTGGAGCCATAATGACCTGGGTTGCAATCCTGATTCCACCACCCAATAGGTTTGTGGG